GACCTTCTTAGCATACTCAATGACATTTTTTGCTTTCAGCTATAACAAACATTTACGTATACGTTGTCATGCACAGTAAATTACACTATAATTATAATTGAACTATTACAATATAGGGAAACACTTACCTCCAGCATTACGTCGGTGGCACCACCATTGTTGCATAGTTGCTCGAAAGAAATTGATCAACATTGTTATCGGTAGTTTCCTTACGTCTCTTGATAATGTATTGATTGACTCGGCACTGTTTGATGTCATAATATTGTATCGAACCACGAGGAAACACAACCTTGCCCATCTCTCGTTACCGATTCTATCTAGCTATGTCTGAAAATCATCGTTTGGTGTATGGTGTAGCCTACTCAAGCTTTCCTTGAAATCAGACTCGCGGTATGCCTTTGCAGCCTCCCAAAACAAAATCTATGTTCTCTCTTGCTTGCTGATCTTTGTTCTCATATTCATCAACAAATGGCGACAACAGAGTCCGTGATATGCATTCAGGAAGACGACTTGAATGGCCATTTCAATTGAATTGGCTCTATCTGATATAATAGCCAAAGATGACATGTCCCTAATATATTCTTTGAGTCTTGATAAAAACCTAATCCATGACTCTCCACTTTCAGTTTTCCCAACACCAAATTAAATAGGAAGGATTTGGTTATTACCATCTATGCTTATTGCTAGGGACATGGTGCCCAAGTATTTCCCTTTAAGTGTGTACCATCAATGATAATAACAGGATGCAAACATCTTTGAAACGCTAGAACCTAAAAAGTAATTAATAATCTAATTAAAGCAAATGCATGCGTATGAACATTAAATATAAAGAAGTAGGTATATAAAATATATTACCGCGCAACCTATAGCCATGAAAAAGTATTCAAATTTGTTGTCATCACTCGTCTTTATATGAGTAACATTCCCTAGATTCCTCTTCTCCAAGTTGTAACAGTATACAGGTAGTCTAAGAAAGCTTTCTTCAGGGGTTCTTCTCAATAGATTTAGAGCATATATTTTAGCAGTCCATGCTTGCCAGTATGAAACACGTACACAAAGACAATCATTTAAAGTTCGTTGTATCTGTTTCCCCCGCAACATATTACCGTTACTATCAGCTAATATACCCTTCAAGAAGTGACCCAATACCTTTTTGTTGGCTTGTCGGTGATGGGGACGTAGCTGTGTGTTTCTCCGATAGTTTAACCATTTGAAATGAATCAATAGTATTATGTTTTGTTGCCCTAATCCGCTAGTCACAATTATCCATATAACAAACAACTTCAAAACTGTCTTTGTAGATTTTTTCACTTTATATTGGAAACCTTCACTAACACTTTTCTTTACTAAATTAAGCTTAAGTTCTTCTTTGTTTTTGAAGAGTTGGAATAAATTAACATGGGAATTATAGTTGTGTGTTGTGGCCCCTTTATGATTTTTTTGAGCTAATTCGGGCAGTGGTAAAGGATCAGGCATACCCTAATGGGTGAGTTGTGTTTCTTTAGAATCGGAAAAATAATAAGGAAACTTTTCTTGTTGTGCTTTTCCAGGTTGTGTTAAGGGATCAATTTCCTCTTTTCCATCTTCATGATCATCCTCATCAAATTCAGTGTAACTCTGAAAATGTTCTACTGGCTCTTCATGTGGAACTATATTACGATCATCAACCAACATCATTAGTTTTGCCTCATCATTTGCAGATCCATCAACATCAACAGTAAGGTCATCCTGAACAATGACCTTACCTTTAGACCTATAATCATCCCCATGTATAGGGTCCTCTTAAGAAGGAACATGGTTGGTTGTCATGGATAATAAATTACAAATTTGGTTACTTCCAGCACCGGAAGAACCATTTCCAGAATGATTTTCCCCGAGAAATCGATTAGTACCACTATCCATAATATTATTAACAACAAATAATTGTACTGTGTTGGGAGACATAGTAGTAACAAAACTAAGAAAATATCTAACATCACTATCGTTAAGAATCTGCATAACTATATTTGATCAATGACATTAAAAAGATAAACAAATTTAAATTGTGTATAACATAGACTTGGAAGCAACCAATGTAACTAACCCAATGAAGTTGATATCATTGGTTATATCTACACCAAAGCATGTGTAATCCGGAGCAAGATACTGTATACATCCGTCGATACGCTGCTATTGCCTTCCACTAGAAACTGGAACTAAGAAAAAACTCGTATACATACTCATTCCAGAATGTTTTTCGAAAGTATAGAACACACAAATATATTAAAAACACATATGTATTTCATATTTGCAAGAAAAACATAGAAAAAACCCTAATTCTATCTCTCCGGAACGGCACTCCGGAATGTATGGCCGTTTCAGACGTCAGTCCGGAATACACTTTTTCAATCTGGAAGGGTACACTTTTTCAGTCGTGTCCATTGCCCAAAATAAGCAATTGTATATAAAGCACCTTATGAAATTAGGCCATTGCTGAAAAGGGTATGTCAATCCGATGACTAATGACTGTAAATTACCATTTTCAACAAAATCAACATCGACATAGCAATACGTCATACATTTAAACGAGCAATTTGTCGGATCCACTTGTTTGTAGTATCGGTCTATTGTCGATTCATCATGACAAAATCTATTCTAATAAATGAAGATTCATTTTGCCACATGTCAATATCTTCTAAGTTTTGACACTTGTCATTTTATGGTATTTTTAAAATAAGTAATACTCACATGTCAATTTTTAGGTTTTTTCAATCTTTAAAATTAAAAACTCACATAATACTTAATACTTATACTTATATATAAAGTATTAAATTTATAAATGTTATAGTAAATTTCAATAAATACATTTATTCTTTCCTTATTTCAAAATTTATTTTAAAAAATAATTAATGTTTACATTTTGATATTTAATTTTTTTAATCAACCTGTGTAATACACATGTCTTACACCTAGTACTTGATATATGAAAACCATATGTTTTCCTACCTAAAGGGAAGGGGTGGCAAATCAGGCCAACGTGTCGTGTTTTTGTCTGACACGACACGACACGACAATGTTTTATGTAACACGAACACGACACGACATGATGTCGTGTTTTTTCTAACTAACACGAAAACGAACCAATTAAAAAACGATAAACACGACACGACACGACAAAAATAACATAATATAACAATCAGTTTATTTAATTAATGTTTAATTATACATAACACGACAAACACGAGTAACACGAAAAACACGACAAATAAATGCCAAATCGTGTCAATTTCGTCGAATTTTGAACACGAACACGACACGACACGACATCGTTTTTTACACTTGACACGAACACGACACGAACACGAATTCGGATTTCAGTTTCATCCCAGTTTCGTTTCGTATCGTGTATTTTTGTCGTGTCATGTCAACAATTGTCACCTCATGATTACACTTTGATTTTGAGCGAATTTGAGAGCATTAAGTGTGGATTTTTTATTTTTATTTTTTTTATTGGTTGGTGAACATCATAGCGACATCTTGATTCGAATTGGATATTACCCCATGAAAGTTATAGATGACACCTGTATAGTTCGTTATTTAAAATGAACCATATCAAACATTTTTCCATTGATTTTCACATACATAATATAATCTTAAGTTTTCTTTTGTCTATATCTTAACACGGTTTTCTTGTAATTCTTTATTACATGATAAGCAGGTTGCGTAATTCTCATGATAACTCAAACCTGTCAATTTTCGGATTACGAATAATTACGTTTAAAGCAACTATAATAATATAATTCGAACAACCCTGCATAAATGATATACCCCAACACTTAAGAAAATATATAAACAACTACCATATTTTAATATATACAATTAAAAATGTAAAGTGGAGAATATTCAAGGGACAAAAATACCTTTGGTATTTGGGAGTCGTAAGTGTGGGGAAAACAAAACCTAGAGATAACAACAACAGAATGTTTTGTCATTTAACTCCTCGTTTTCTTCCACATATTCCCATTTTACAATTTTCAAATAGTTTATATTCCCTAAACTAAATGGCTTAAATTATGAAGCTTATCATTTTATTAAAATCCTAATCCTAATCCATAATACGACCGAACTTGTGTCGTTTGGAATAATTATAAAATGTTTAACTTAATATAGTGTCTAACAAAATATCGATTAATAATAACAAATGAAGACACACTTCAGAATTATAATTAGAATGGTGGACCATATGAGGTGAGCTTTTTGTAGAAAAAAAGACACACTTCAGAATTATAATTAGCATCAGCTTTTTATAAAACAAAATCATATATCAGAACACTGTTTTTATGGGTAAAAGGTGAGCTTTTTGTAGAAAAAAAAGCAAAAAATAAAAATAAAAAAAAGCAACAAAGACCAAGACAAAGACAAGGCACGTGATCTGCCAAGATATTACCTGCAAGAAAAAGCTTTTCTTTTTTGCTTTTTTGGACATCTCATTGTTCTCTCTCTCACACAGATACAGACATCCACCCTTCAGTCCAATCACTGAATAAAAAGCAAATGTCTTTGTTTTCCCCCGAAAAAATCCAAACAATTATTTGATTCTTTTCATAAAAATAATTTGAAAAACTAACCAATTCAATTATTTAAATTCCCTTTTGTATTGGTGAACCCCCCTAATCTCATTGTGAGGTGTTCTTGGTGCCTACTCTCACCAGCTCTAAGATTTTGATTGTATCTTCAAAGGATAACATTCAAGGCTCAAGAACTGCGTACACCCAGATCTCTTAATTTCAGGAAACTTGCCATTTGGGGGATTTTATGACGTGGGTGAAGTGCATTTTTGAGATTTTGTTCCTTTTGAAACAAGATTAAAGTTGGGATTTGAAAGAAAATAGTGGGTTTTGCTTGATAGGCTTCTGATTCTGTTCTTAATTTTCAAAGCATAGCTTTTTTCGTATTTTGGAGTTGGAGAAGAAGACAAGCATATATAGCATATAAATATGGTGAAAAAAACCATTTCACAAATGTGTTGTGTTCATGTTCGTTGATGATTCTGTGCACAATTTGAAGATTCTTGAAGCATGGAGATGAAATGATGTGTGTTTGAGACATTGCGATTAGGGGTTTTATGTCTTTTAACATGGCTGAGTGTCGCATATGCAACTCTTTCTCCTTCTGGTGTCAATTATGAAGGTCAGTTTTCATTCTCTTTTTGTTTCCATATTTGGGCATTCTCTTCATAATCTATTTTTGTACGCTATCATTCCTTGTTCATTCTTACTCAACAATTTTCTTCTTCAATTTGGGCAAATTTTTATTAAATAAAAGCTTATTCTTCTTTAACTCCCTTTATCCGTGAGTTTTAATCGGATAAATAACATCATACGTAGTTATTTGCTAAGGAGTTTTGTTTCATAGTCCATAAAACATATGAAAAAACTAACAACTGTGGTGAAAATGGATTAAAGATCATTAAAATCGTTCGTAATTGATGCAGTTGTAGCTCTAATGGCTATAAAAGGCGATCTAAAAGACCCACGAAATATCATGGACAATTGGGATTTATCTTCTGTAGATCCTTGTAGTTGGAGGATGGTTACTTGCAACCTTGATCGCTCTGTATCTGCTTTGTAAGTTTTTATTAAAAACCTATTCTTTCTATTAACTTTATAAAACTTTTCGACAATTTTTCCATAAATTAGTTCTCAAATACTTCAAATTTTTATGGGTTTTGATTCTTGACCAGAGGGCTACCTAGTCAAAACTTATCCGGGACATTATCGTCAGCAATAGGAAATCTTAGTAACTTGCAATCTATGTAAGTTTTTCAGTTACTCTTGTTCTTCACAAGATATCAAACCACAATTATAATCTTTATATAAATTGATAATTCGATATACTTTTGTAGCACACTACAGAATAATGCAATCTTTGGGCCTATTCCGGATTCAATTGGAAAGCTTCAGAAGCTTCAAACTCTTGATCTATCAGGAAACATGTTCAATGGTCAGCTTCCTAGTTCTCTAGGGGACCTCAACAGCCTTAATTTTTTGTAAGTTTTGATCTTTATTTAAACAAAAGATTTATAAAAACACGTAAATTTTACTCATTTTGAATCAAATTCTTTGAGCAAGACAGGCGTCTGAACAACAACAGTCTTTCTGGCCCTGTTCCTCAATCTTTATCCCAAGTTGAAGGCCTCACTCTTGTGTATGTTCTTTTTCTTACATAAAAAATGTTGGAGATTAATATTTAATATTATCTTATTGTAAAATTTCACTTGTTTATGTAGAGATGTGTCCTATAACAATCTGACTGGTCCTTTGCCAAAACTATCAGCAAGAACTTTTAGGTGAGATTTTTTTCCTCTTTGTGTAAAAAAAACAATTTCATCGTTTTCTTTTTCTCATATTTCTTTATCTTTTTTTTTTCCGCCTTCAGAATCATAGGAAACCCTTTACTTTGTGGGCAAAATTCTGTAAATAATTGTTCAAATATTTACCCCGAGCCTCTCTCTTTCCCACCAGATGGTTTCACAGGTATTCATATTCATCTTTTTTCTTTTTCTTGTGTGTGTGTGTGTGAAATTAATGATTCTAACATTATACTTTCACCAGACCAATCTTCATCAAATGACAAAACTCGTCATTTGGCTGTTGCTCTTGGGACAAGCCTCAGTGGCATTTTTGTAATAATCTTGATTGTCGCGATGCTCATTTGGTGGCGATACAGGAAAAATCAACAGATATTCTTTGATGTTAATGGTTCGTCAATTGTCACTATTGTCTTTATTATATATATATATATATATATATATATATATATATATATATATATATATATATATATATATTTGTCATATTTTTTTATAAGAAAATAAGGTTATGTTATGCAGATCAATATGATCCTGAGGTATGTTTGGGTCATTTAAGGAGGTATACATTTAAGGAGCTTCGGGCAGCTACTGACCATTTTAACGCGAAGAATATATTAGGGAGGGGCGGATATGGAATTGTTTATAAAGGGACATTGAATGATGGGACAATAGTGGCTGTTAAAAGGTTGAAGGATAGTAATACTTTTGGGGGTGAAATCCAATTTCAAACTGAAGTTGAAACAATAAGTTTGGCTGTTCATCGTAACCTGTTACGGCTTTGGGGGTTTTGCTCAACTGAAAATGAACGCCTTTTAGTCTATCCATTTATGCCCAATGGCAGTGTGGCATCTCGATTAAAAGGTTCACCGTCTTCCATTTTCCCACTTTCCATTTCATGCAATTGTAACATTCATAACGTTATTTACTCTTGTTCATACGCTTCATTCGGTCTAGAAAAAGAAAATCTTTTTCACAAAAGGGTAAAATGGTCATTTACTCTTATTCCGACTGTTCGTTCTGTCTAAAAAAGAAACAATCTTTGTTCACAAAAGGGTAAAATGGTCATTTGCTCTTAGTCACATGGTGCATTCCCTTTAAAAAAGTCTTTGTTCACAAAAGGGTAAAATGGTCATTTGCTCTTTTTTCGGTCGGTTCGTTCCTTTTAAAAAAGAAACACTCTTTGTTTACAAAAGGGTAAAATGGGCGTTTACTCATATTCAGTCTAAAAAAAAAGAAACACTCTTTGTTGACAAAAAGGGTAAAATGGTCATTTACTCTTATTCAGACGACGGTTCATTAAGTCTGCAAAAGAAATGCACTCTTTGTTCACATATAATATAACTTATTCCACAAAGACATTATTTTATCCACTTAAAGAATCTTGCTGCCTACCAATTTTGATGATTGATAGAGAATTTGATTTGTGTATTTATTTGAATAATATTGTACTTTTTTAGCAGATAATATGGAGGGAAGACCGGTATTGGACTGGTCAAGGAGAAAAAACATAGCACTAGGAACGGCAAGAGGTTTACTATATTTACACGAGCAGTGTGACCCAAAAATCATTCATCGTGATGTGAAAGCCGCAAATATTCTTTTAGATGAAGATTTTGAAGCGGTTGTTGGTGATTTTGGGCTGGCAAAGTTGTTAGATCACCGTGATTCCCATGTCACAACCGCCATCCGTGGCACTGTGGGCCACATCGCCCCCGAGTATCTTTCAACCGGTCAATCCTCATCAAAGACTGATGTTTTCGGTTTTGGCATCCTACTTCTTGAATTGATAACCGGACAGAAAGCTTTAGATTTTGGAAGAGCTGCCAATCAGAAAGGCGTAATGCTAGATTGGGTATGCTCTCCTCCTTCTCTCCTTGATTAATAGAATGAAAATGGAATGTAAAGATGAACCGTTACTGACAATTCATTTGTGTTACAGGTAAAGAAGCTTCATCAAGAAGGGAAGCTAAACCTAATGGTGGACAAAGCATTGAACAATGATTTTGATCGAGTGGAGTTGCAAGAAATGATTCAAGTTGCACTCCTGTGTACTCAATTTAACCCTAGTTATCGGCCAAAGATGTCGGAAGTGTTGCGGATGTTGGAAGGTGAAGGGTTGGTTGAAAGATGGGAAGCGTCACAAAGAGTTGAGACCCCACGATTCAGGGGTTTAGAAGGGATTCCACAAAGATATTCGGATTATATAGAAGAATCTTCACTTGTAGTTGAAGCAATGGAGCTTTCTGGTCCAAGATGACATGAATGTTTCGGTGTTATATATATATGTGAGTTTTTGTGTGGTTGTGGATATTTGTTGAATGGATGTGTAAAAAGGGTAGAGGGAATCTTGTGTTTGTTTATGATGGAATGAAGTTTGATGCAGAAGTGAAATTGAGCAAATAGCAAATGTATATCTTTTATTCTTTTTTCCAAAAGCGATTTGGTTTAACAAACACACGTCAAAGCGTTTATATGTTAATTTGTGTATAGTTTTACTTTTGGTGATTGTATGGTCTTTTTTTCGAAAGTAAAGTGAATCTTTCGATAATATTCTTTCCTAATGGATGATGTATGCAACTTTGAAGTCTGAGACTCCGAGGGACTATAGATGTAAGGCTGGCTTTTTGTGTAATTACTAATTACACAAAATTTCACATATGGTCCTTAAGCGTAAGCTTTTCTGTTTGTTCCTAAACTAGTCCTTACGAAACCTGTTTTTGTTTTTTTTTGGGATGGTCTACAAAGCAAACCTTATACACAAACAATCCTTATGACTAACACAATTAGTTTTTTCTGTTAAATTAAATGAAAAGACTATATTGCCCTTACACATCATAACACACACATTTTCTGTCTATCTATTTCTCCTTCACATAAACACTAAGCACAAGAACATACACCCTCTCAAGAACACACCACATACCAACGTCATCGTCCATCACCACCATACTCTACCACCGTCCATCACCGCTATCCACCTATGGCTACCATCAACTACTCTTTCCGCCGCCACCACTAGATCTGTATTGAGCCACCACCGATCTCCTCTTTAGATCTTGGTTCATTAGAATCTACAAATGCCAAAGCATATCTGATGGAAGAAACTCTCTCTCTCTCTCTCTCTCTCTCTCTCTCTCTCTCTCTCTCTCTCTCTCTCTCTCTCTCTCTCTCTCTCTCTCTCTCTCTCTCTCTCTCTCTCTCTCCTCTCTCTTCTCTCCTCTCTCTCTCTCTCTCCTCTCTAAATCCCCCTAAATCCTAAAGAAACCCTTACAAGAACAATCACGTTTTCCATCATATTTTACCATCTTGAACCTTCAAAACATCATCCTCAGCTTTTGATTTTCGAGTTCAAGCATCGAGACTTTTTCTTTTTGATTTTTGAGTTCAAGATAAGCCTAACTATTCAAAGTTCAAGCTCGATTTTCATCAGATCTGCCATTGTTGTTTGAGCATCAGATTTGTCATTGTTGTTTATCCAAGCTCGTTTTTCAAGTTCAAGAAACCCTAACTTCATCGGATTGCCAATGTGTGTGTGATTTGATCTCCACGTGTGTGTATGTGTATGTGACGATTTTTTATAGGCGTGTCGTTTTTCAGATATGGTGGTGGTGGTATATGATTGAATTGCTACCACCATTTTTATGGCAAATTACAAAGTTGTGATGAAATAACAAAACTAATGAAGGATGACAAAGGAAAATACATAGAGGATGCTCAACCTTATATTTTTCTAAGTTAGGGCTTAAGGCCCCAAATTCTCAAAACTTAACCCAATATTAATATATCTCAAATCTCAATTAGTCAGTTACTAACTGTCTGATAGGCCACATCAAAGTGAGCGATCTTGATTCTTGAAGACAAAACACATGCGACACATCAGTGTAATCTTGAAAAATGAAACGCCATATTTATTTTCTATTCTTCTATCTCGATTCTCAATTTTCAAATCATCAACACCAAACGGTATGTGTTTCACATCTTTTCAAGTTTTCCATGATCTATTAGGGTTAGCCGATTAGGAGTTAATTATTTTCAGTTATCCATTGATTACAAAATATAAATTTTCAATTGTCAAGTCTTGAATACTTCTATGTGAATTTTGCCTTTAAAGTTTTCGAATTTGGGTTGGAATGAAATCAAGGAAGCAGTGAATGAGTCAAGCCTGTCAAGCAACATGTATTTTCATTATTCCATGTATTTTCGAATTTCGGAGAGCATACTGTAACGCCCGTGTTTCTAAGCTAGGCACTAATGATGATGTAATAGTCTAGGTCAACCTTTGTAACTTGTTTTGAAATAATAAGATGTATTATTTGATTATTATGTGTTTTATGCTTAATTATTATAATTTAATGCAATAAGAATAAAAATAAGCGTCGAAAATAAATATTAGATAAACCCAATATCTATGAAGGAAGTGTAGTGGTCGTTACAAGGATTCCGGATATATAAAGAATGTCGAAATCCGAGTTATAACGAAGAAGTTATGACCTGTCGAAGTTTCACGATAGAACCGGTACGCCACTGCGTGACGTAAATAGTGAATTTATGATAGAACGATTTTTAGCCTTAGTAATCTAAATGAAAGTCATAGTGTTCGTTAAACCGAGAGCGTGTATAAACAGAACGCCCAAATCTGACTGTGTATGAGGAAATTATGATTTTTCTAAGTTTCAACTTAACAGTAGACAACTAAAAAACTCGAATTTTAGATCGAGTGATTTTTAGCCGACACAACCTAAACGAGAATCGAAGCTCTCGTTAATAGTAGTACAACGGTAAAAAGACAGACGAAAACGGACATCGGATGAAGAAGTTATGAATTTTTAACGCATTTTCTTGTTTCGGTCTGTTAAAAATAATAATATTAAAAATAAAGTCAAAATTACCCGACGGAGTCTAAACGAAAGTTGTAGAGCATAATTTTACCTACGCGTGCATATAAAGAACGTCGAAAACGGAGCTCGTATGCGAAAGTTATGGATTTTAGAAGTTCGGGACACAAAATTCGAGAAAATCACTAAAACCGAGGAATTTCGCATGGTCAGCCTCCGGCCACGTCACCCTCGCTCGCAGCATGCCGCGTGTCCGAAATTGATGAGTCTTCCGAGGCCAGCTGTCGACCCGTGTCGCACCCTCCTCGCACCGAAGGATCGGTCCAATCAGAGACTGACGCGTGTCTCGCCACCTGCCCTGTCCGAAGCTCGCCGCCTGCCTCCCTCGGATGCGAGCCACGTGCTTGCTTCTCCTTCCTTCGGATCCGAGGCTCGCACCTATATATAGGAGGTGCGAGACCTCCCGGGTAATTTTGGAAAATCCTCACTTTTTCACTCCTAAACCCTCTTTTAAGCTACTTAGCATCCCCGAAGCCCCGAGATCATACCCAACACCCGAAACACGTTCCGGAGTGCCCGAAGAGCCTGAGAAATTTGTCTTTTCAGTTTGAAGCTCAACCCTCACAAGACCTGTTTTTTTTTCATTAAAGCTCCCGGTTTCATCGGAAACGATCATTTTAAGAAACGAAGTGCTGCCCGATTATCGTTAAATAAAGTGAGTGTATAGTCACTTTCATCTTACACATAGATATGAAGTATTTTTTTATAAAATACATGCTATGTGTAATTATATTGATTGTTTATTTGAGATGACTGTTGAATAGATGTTTTATACAAGTTTTAAACTGTATATGTATTTTTATCTACAAATATGTTGGGTAAAACATGGGTAGACGATATAGTTGATGTGTGTTAAAATGATGAGAGGCCTCGATGTTGTTGTTGTTGTTGTTGTTGTAGTCATCTAGCGGAGTATAGATGACGACTACGGACCTTTCTAGACAGTCAGTGGAACGCTAGCAGGTTCGAAACCTATAGGTGTTGGTGAACTATATGTTCATTGGTGTACTCCATCCCCCTCATGGTTGCCTTAAGGACATGTATGGCTGAGGAATCCCCTTAGCAGTAGTGTTCATCCCGATGATGATCCTTAGGCTAGGTCCCTTGTGATAGGTGTTTAGGGACATAAAGTGAGGATAACGGGAACAAGTAATCAGGGTTATTGTTGGTTGACGAAATTAATAAATTTATTGTTTGTTGATGAAATTAATAGAATTATTATTATTTGTGGGTTGAAAACCCTATATACTCACTATGTAGCACCTGGTTCCTGGTATGTATTTTATTTAAGTATTTTGCATTTTTGGCCTGGGACTCGGCGAGTTGAAGGCCCAACTCGTCGAGTAGAAGCGGATTTGATACGGGATTTAAATGACGGACTCGTCGAGTCGGCTTCCAGAGTCGACGAGTAGACTCTGACTGGACAAAACCCTAATCTAAGGGTTTGCACCCTATTTAAGCATCTCATCCAGCCACCCTTCGTCCCTATTGCCCTCAGAACTCTCCATATCAAACACTAATCGTTTGTGTAAAGATCTAAGGCCTTTGTGGTGATTTTTGGTGGTTTTGGAGCATAAGAAGGAATAGAAAGGCTCGAGGGATCAAGAGAAGACCAAGGGAGTTCAAGTTTGTGCATCATTTGCAGCCCCCAGAAGGTATAAAGTCGATACCTTGCTTGTTCTTTTGATAGATCCCTTTTTGGGGAGAATTAGGGCTTTTATAAGCCATTATTGGTAACCAACCATGATTGCAAGCATGGTTGGGGGTTGAGGCTTCAGATCCAGGTCCATGAAGGAGTTACAAGGCAGAAAAGGGCTGCTTATGCACCCATGGAAGCCCCCATGCAACTTAAGAGTCTCTTTTAGAGCCTTTTAGGCTCAAAGTCCCATGCATGCATGTAAAGTTCGTAACTTTACGTGCTAGATCGAGTTTAGGGACCTAGATCTATCATTTGGACAAGAGTTGTACACCAGAAATCGAAGAAATAGACTTGGACAGTATCGACTCGGCGAGTCATTCTTGGGACTCGGCGAGTCCGAGGCTTGGCTCCCATTTTCTGTTATGATTCAAAGAGACCCAGTTGAGTGTCAGAAGGGTTTTAGAGGGTCCAAGGGAGTGACCCAAACGTATTGGGATAAGCCATAGTCTTGGAGTTCATAGGACTCGGCGAGTGGATGAACCAACTCGGCGAATCCAAGGCAATCTCCCAACTCTGAAGATGAACTCGACGAGTTGTTCATTAGCTCGGCGAGTCGAGGACCGGACTGGTTCATAGGATGAGGATGAACTCAACGAGTTGTTCATACAACTCGGCGAGTCGGATGAAGGTTCATTCGATGTTCGTATAGAAGGAGAACTCGTCGAGTCATTCCTAAACTCGACGAGTAGAGTCGTAGATGAGGACAGTTAAAAGGATAGGGACTCGACGAGTTGGCGGCCCAACTCGGCGAGTCAGGTCAACTGGAAGTTGACTTTGACTTTGACTTGGACTTGGTCAGGGGTAAAATAGTCATTTTACCCTAAGAGTAGATATCAGGTTCTAACT